AAGGTTAAACCTGGTTAGGAAAGCTTGGAGACGCTCATCATCATGCTGCTTCATTGTGAATAGGCTCGAAATGTCCTTCGCTGGATGCTTATTTCCATAATATTGGCTTATGAACCGATCACACAAGCTTCAGAAACTATCCACTGAGCCCTTCGGCAGGTTCTTGAACCAATTGAGTGCTGGTCCAGCTAGACTCGTAGGAAAGCACTTGCACATCAAAGAGTCATTCTCAGTGTTCAGAGCCATTTTCAACTGGATGTGATACACATGATCGATCGGATCGGTCGTTTCGTCGAACAGAATGAAAACGGGCATGGAAAATTTCCTCGGACTCGGAGCATTCAGAATCCCATCGGTGAACGGTGAATCAACCGTTCAAGCTGCTGAACGGAGTGCTTCATTTTCCCTCTGGAACCCCGCGGTTGTTCTCTGGTCTACAGATCTCCTCTCTGAGCCGTGATAGTCGAACGTCGCCATGGAAGGCCGATAAGTCGGATCGAATGATCTGTCCTCAACAAAATCTCTGCGCCATGGAGGCATAGCTTTGTGACGATCCAACTCTATTGCTTCACCTCGGCTGAGCGTTTCTTGATGTGGATTAAAAGTCATTGCTTCGTTTCGCCTGATCTGCTCACGCCGTGGATCCACGTGAGTCGATCCTTCACGATCATCAATACGACGAAGATTTGGCGGCAAACCATTTGGCCGGATTTCCTCGCGATGAGGATCTATCAGATTATTTCCAACCTCCTCGCCGTGATGTGCCGCATCGGTATGTGCACCTTCTTCTCCTACCGAGAGCGGTCACGGAATTACTGGAGCTTCTTGATGCTGCATTTCAGTCCTTAGATCCGTATTTTCTCTCCGGAGAGCTTCGATTATGCTCATCAAGTTTTACCTGCTGGACGTTCTCTACCGTATTGGAGTTCTCACCCCCTATCATGATTCCGGATCGAAGCAAAGGCATGAATTATGAACTCCGAAATAGATCTAAGCGTCACCGATGCAAATTCCGTTAGATCTTGGCTCAACTTCACCGAATCGTGGTCACCGTTTGCTAGATCTGAGTTTTTTTACCTTTGAACTCACTGGATCTGACTGCAATTGAACAAATCACAGTTGTGTCATTCCGAAGCAAATGCCTCAGAATCGACAATAAGCAAGAATTCTCTTTGAACAAACTACAATCTCACAGATCTGGATTCAACTTCCAGAAATCAAACTGTGTGCTCACAAACTTGATTGAACTAACATGATACTGATCAGGCTCGAATCGATCTTCTTCGTCGTTCCCACAGACGGCGCCAATTGAAGATGCAAGAAATTCATTCTCCTTTCTCTCTCTAGAATTCTTACACTTCAATAGAAAATTCACCTCCTCCCAAAAAATATATCCCCCTCTTATCCACCCGTAATGGTCTATTTATAGACCATTACAAATATTCTAACTAACTGATTACATAGGGCTCATATTCAAGGGTTTTCTTCCTTTTGGGCCTGACTTTCCAATGGGCTCGATCTTCTTCAGTGGATCCTCCAAGCTCGGCCCATTCCGTGGTGCTTTTGCATGGGCCATACTTCAATTGTTTGACCCGATCCCATGCCAGTGAGCTATAACCGGCCCATGCCACTTATTGCATCCTCATTGTGGATAAGTATGGAAGTGTGAAGAATGTGGGAGAAGATTCTGAAGAATCGATCTCCACTGTTGGTTAGAATGCATCCTAGCCATCCATTAGGGATGGGGATGCCTATAAATAGGAGTAGGACTTCATTTTGTAGCAAACAAGTCCTAGAGTGAGTCTTGAGAGCCTTGTAGAGAGTTTAAGTGCTAGCCTTATACAAAACATTCTTTGATGTAATAGAAGTGTTCTTTCCTTGCCAACTTAAGTGCCTTAGTGTGTGTGAGTGTGCAAGCCAAGTGAGGAGAGGGCGAGGGCCACTACAACACTAGTAGGCGCACGAGGGGAGTGTGTTGGTTAAGGTGTGCACGGGAGTTAGGCTGATTAAGCACTTGCGAGAGTAGAAGCAACGTCTTGGTGCCATGGGAGTAGTTAGAGTGGTGTTGAAACTCTAAGCCCGTGACAGTTGGTATCAGAGCAGGTTCATCAAGAGAGCTTTGTTGGAGTAGATATGGCTAGCGGATGAGACCACCAAGTCCACGTCTTAGAACAGAGCTTGGAGGAGAAGCTTGCCACACACTTGGTTTACACGGAGACCAAGTTTCATAAGCTCGAGAGAAGGATGGCGGAGCTCTACGAGCTGATTGATGGCATCACCAACAAGGCGCAAGAAAAGGAAAGGGACTTGCATGATCGGGTAGACGACTTGCGCATGGAGATTGCCGAGTGCAAGAAGGAGTTCTCCCAGGCGCGCGAGGTCGTGGTGAAGCCAAAGAAGAAGAAGACGCCAGAGCCCAAGGAGTATGATGGGGCAAGGAATGCGCGCCAGATTAACAACTTCTTCTGGCACATGGAGCGGTACTTCGAGTGCATGGAGATCGAGGATGATGAGGAGAAGGTGCAGACAGGCACTATGTACCTCACGGACACTGCCGCTCTATGGTGAAGGCAGCGTTTCACCGGTAGAGGCGCAAGAGCAGTTGACACATGGGAGGAGTTCAAGAGGCAATTCTACCCTGAGTGCGTTGAAGACCTAGCCATGATCAACCTAAGGCGCCTGAAGCAGAAGGGCAGCATAAGGGAGTATGTGAAGGAGTACTCCAATTTGATGCTGGAGATCCCAGAGATGCTGGAGCGGCAATGTGTGTGCTTGTTCATAGATGGGCTGCAGTCTTGGGTGGCCACGGAGCTAAGGAGGAGGGAGCCTAGAGACTTGGCATCCGCAATGGCTATAGTGGAGTGCCTTGAAGACTTTAGGCGCGATGACAAGAGGGCCACGTCTCCCAGGAGGGACCACGGCAAAGGTGGAGGAGACCGGCGATTCAAGAAAGGGGGCTCGCCTAAGTCAAGTGATGATGAGCACAGCGATGAGGAGAGACGCCCACGCTATGATAAGGGCAAGGACCATGGAGAGAGGTCCAAGACTAGTGGCAAAGGGGAGTGCCGCGATAAGGGCAAGTGGGAGCCGAAGTGTTACTTGTGCGAAGGGCCGCATATATTGCGACACTGCCCCAACAAGAAGACTATGAGCGCCCTTGTGAAGAATAAGGGCAAGGGCAAGATGGACGATGCGGGCAGCGACGAAGACAGGTGCATGGGGGCTATGCAGATGTTGAGTAGCATGGCGCATGACACCAAGAAGAAGGGGCAAGGCAAAGAAGGTAGCTGGGGTGCGCTATGTGGATGCGCAGGTTGGTGGCAAAGCCATGCAAGCATTGGTGGACACGGGCGCCACACACAACTTCATTACCCCGAAGGAGGCGTAGCGACTTGGCTTAGAGATGCGCAAGACGGAGGGCTGGATCAAAGCCGTTAACTCTGAGGAGGCACGCGTGAGCAGAGTATGCAAAGAGGTGGAGCTATGCATGCAAGGGTGGAATGGCAAGGCTGACTTTCAGGTTGCGAAGATGGACAACCACGACATGGTGCTGGGGTTGGAATTCATGGACAGGAACAACGCCGCGCCACTACCATGCCTTGGTGCGTTGATGATACTTGGAGGTGAAGAAGGCAAGGCCGCATGCATGGTGCCGCTCGTGGGCAGGAAGGAGAGTCCAGAGGTGGCAGTCAACATGATGGAGCTCGTGAGGACCTTACATTTCCAGAAGGGCGCTCGTACGTTTGGGCCAAGGACATATGCGCAAGTGCTGATGACCTGCGAGAGGTTGGGTTAGCTGAAGAAACCGTGATGAGGGCATCACGGAAATGGGTGAGGGAGAATGTCACGGCCCGCCTATGGAGGTTGTGCCACGCAGGCGACACGCAGACGCTGAGTAGGACGCTGCATGACAACTGTATGGCAAGTGGAGTTTCTAGAGTCTTTCGGAGTTGTTTAGTGTTGTGTGGAAAATTTTAGATATGTGTAGTATATTCTAGAGTTCTCCAGAATTGTGTGGAGTAGTATGGAGAGTTCTAAAATGTTGTAGATACTTGTGGATAAGTATGAAAGTGTGAAGAAGGTGGGAGAAGATTCTAGAGAATCGATCTCCACTGTTGGTTAGAATGAATCCTAGCCATCTATTAGGGATGTGGATGCCTATAAATAGGAGTAGGACTTCATTTTGTAGCAAACAAGTCCTAAAGTGAGTCTTGAGAGCCTTGTAGAGAGTTTGAGTGTTAGCCTTGTACAAAACATTCTTTGAAGTAATAAAAGTGTTCTTTCCTTGCCAACTTAAGTGTTTTAGTGTGTATGAGTGTGCAAGCTAAGTGAGGAGAGGGCGAGGGCCACTACAACACTAATAGGTGCACGAGGGGAGTGTGTTAGCTAAGGTGTGCACAGGAGTTAGGCTGACCAAGCACTTGTGAGAGTAGAAGCAACGTCTTGGTGCCGCACGGGAGTAGCTAGAGTGGTGTTGAAACTCTAAACCTATGACATTCACTTTTCCATTAATCCACTAAATGGTTATTTCAGCTTTTATGGCGGGGAATGAAGTTTTTATTTATGAATTATTGAGTTGAGATTCTTTTGAAATTCATAAAAAGTCAAAACAATTTTGTATTTTAGTACATTCTCATTTCATCAGTTAACCCAAATACTTAATTTCGGCTTATATGATAAGCTCATGAACTATTATTGAATTGGGATAATATTTGAAATCCATAAAAAAATAAAAAAAATAAAAATAAAAATAATAATAATAAATTCTCATTTTTATTTTTTAATAATTTATTATAAATTTATTTGTTTATTTTGACAAAAAAAATATACTTGCACATTACCATAAATTTCATTTCAATATTTCAAATTTCCTAATTTTTTAAAGTACACTGCTGTTTTACCGGTCTGTCCCCAATAATGAATTCTCGCTGACCAGAGGACAAAGATAGTTTGTCAGTATATGTGATATTGCTTGTGGTCAGGACAATGGCACACACTAAAAAAAATCTCTTTATTCTGAAAAACCCGGAATGAAATCAATGGCCGTTGAAAGACGTTGCAACCAAGAAGAATGGTGGCTTGTTGGAGGCTCACAGTCGCACCTTGCTTCTCAAGCCGATACAGAACTGGGTTTCGTTGCTCAGCAGAGAATCAACAAACCCTTGTTGATGGAACCCAAAACAAGAAGAAGAAGAAGGTACTCATCGTTGGCTCTGGCTGGGCTGGCCTAGGTGCAGCTCATCACCTCTGCAAACAGGTCACACACACTCTCTCTACACCTACACATATATCTATTAATCTATACCCAATTTAAATTCTGAATTGTGAGATATGATTTGGGAATTTGATTTTCAGGGCTTTGATGTTACCGTTCTTGAAGGTGGTTATGAATTTGGACCAAATAAATTGTCCTGTAATCCCGACGATGCTGGTATTCGTGGTAAATAACCTTGTCATTTACTACATGCTACTTCAATTTCTAAAATGGACAATTTTCCTTTCTAATATGCGACGACAACACTTAAAAAATTGGGTTTTGATGACATGAAAACTTAAAGAAATTATGTAAACTCTTGTTAACATTTCATTGTTTGAAGAACCAAATTAGTGGGAAAAATTGTAGTACCTAGCCAAGGTAAAGGGTCCTCACCCCTCAGTTTCATTAAGGTTCCATCTGGCCAGATGGAAATTAATAGTGGGAAGTGAATTTCAAGAAAATTCTGAGAAATTTTCATTTTATGGTTTGAATAGCATGAAACTTATCATAAAAGGGCGGGCATTATTTTAAGTTCATAAAACTTTCTCAAGAAATCAAAATTTTCCTGTGTTTTTTGTAGGAAAATTTTATGGGAAAGTAATTTTCCCTCCAAACTTTTCCTGCTAACCAACCTTTGAAAGTGTTCATAAATTTTCCGTTTCCTTTATTTTCTTTCTATTTCCATCTAACCAACGGATCCTAAAAGTTTGGCTCTAGATATATTTAAATAGCTAGACAAGAATGCTGCTATTGAACCTAATAACTAGTTGCTAGGCAATGCTGATGAGGTTGGAATAGGAAGTAGGAGAGCTAACGTTGATGCACATTTTCAGTCATGCACCCACATAAATCAGTTCTGATTAGTTAATTTATTAAGCTTTTTCTTTTTCAACTTCAATATCTACCAAAAAAAAAAAAAGCCTCTAATTCATAATCTCTGCTTTACCTTCAGGCTTTTGGCATCCTTATCGTAATATATTTGACCTAGTTGATGAGCTTGGTATTAAGCCCTTCACAAACTGGACCACATCTGCACAATATTCAGGAGAAGGATTGGAGGTAATTTATAGTATTAGTTTGCTCCTAGTATGTGAAATATTTGCCAAGAACAAGAAAATGGTATAAGAACCTGGCTTAAATGGCTAATCTTACTTCCTTTAAGCTATGCCATTTCCCTCAGGAACAGCATTGCAACGTCTTCCGAACAACCCTATTCTTGTTTTGGTATTCATTGGTTGTACTTGTGGTTATTGTTCCCACTACTAATTAGACAAATCTGTGTTAGATAAATTTTAAGTGTTTGAGAAGTTTTTGTCTCATATAGCTCAAAGTAAGTTTCTTTGAAAATACCATAAAAAAAGGCATGCTTATTTTGCAGGTTGAATTTCCAGTACTTCAAGATTTACCTCAATTGCCGACTCCATTTGGGACTCTCCTTTACACTCAGGCATGTCCTCGGTGCATCCTCATATATCTTTTTTCTTACTCAGAAAAGAGAAATCTAACTGCTTATTCATAGATAACATTATACTTGTCACATTGTGTGTAGCTTGTTCGACTCCCGTTGGTGGATTGGTTGACATCACTTCCTATAATGGCTGCAGGTAGGTTTCCCCATCCTTATTGAGTTATGATGCTTGATGAGCTGCCTTGTTCTTTTTCCAGCTCCTCAACTCATATGTACATTCTGGTTGCAGTAATCGACTTCGATAACACTGACTCTTCCTGGAGAAAATACGATTCAAGTAAGAATGATTTGGATTCAGCTGATTAAATTTATGGACTTCCTGCTTTGGACGAATTATAGTTACCTTACTGAAATTCTTAATTAAATGCTCAAGTGTCTTATTTAAAGATTTCAACTGTCAGTTACTGCAAGGGAGCTTTTTAAACAATTTGGCTGCTCGGAAAGGCTTTATCAGGATGTTCTACGTCCATTGCTTCAAGTGGGTTTATTTGCTCCAGCTGAGCAATGTAGTGCAGCCGCTACTCTGGGAGTGCTATACTATTTTGTTGTCGCTCACCAGGTTTGATAGGTTGATATCTTTTATAGAATAAATGGGAGCTCATTTTAGTAAGCTTCTCTTGTATAATAGAAATTAGAGCTGAAGGTTGGTCTACATAAGTGAATCTTAAACTGTAATAATAACAGCCGAGATTCTCCACCTTTTCATTAATATGAAAATCCAGACATCCCTCTAATTTCATTCATTTAGGCTACTAAATCGTCAAAATTTTGAAGAACTTCTGAAGAATAATCAGTTTCCAGATACAAGATCACATTTGTTAAAGTATGAGACTGATGCTTGTGCTTATGTAGAGCTCTAGAACAAGTTTAAGAGTTGTGGAAAAAAAGAAAAAGAAAAAAAAATTGATGCTATGTTTGCCCTGAACCCATTGAAGTTAATAATCTGAAGTTGTCATCCAGGATTGTTTTACGCTTCTCACTAGAGTACTTCAATACGGTATAACTCATTCACTGGGGCAAGATATGGCAGGGTTATAGGAACTAGTCCTTTGGTAAGAACTCAAGAAGATTGATTAAGACAGACTTACTGGTAATCTTTGTAGTGAACTTGTGAAAATTGAAGTGATCTGCAACTGACTACTGATTCATGGAAAAGCCCCATATTTAGTATTATTGTCCTGTTTCCTTTTCTTTTGTTTTTGTTGTTGTGTATTCATTTTTCTCTTATTGGTGGGTCTTTCTCATAGGAATTTACAAATTTCCTTTTTATGGGTGGCTACAGAAAGATTTTGATTTCGTATGGTGCTGTGGGACAGTGGAAGAAAAGATTTTTGAGCCGTGGAAGGACTCCATGAGAAACCAAGGCTGTAAATTTCTGGAGGGTAGAAGAGTAACTGATTTCCTTTTTAATGGGGAGACAAGGTGCATATCAGAAGTAGTTTGTGGGAAAGAAACTTTAAAAGCTGATGCAGTAATCTTGGCTGTTGGAATCTCCACACTGCAAGAAATCATTCAGAACAGGTGTGTTGTATCAATTTTTGAATCCTTTTTTTTTTTTTCTCTTTTCATACTTGTATATTTGTTATTTGTTATTATTATTATTTATTATTTTGGAGTTGGAATCCTTGCTTGCTATTTCCAAATGCTAAGGCATATGCTTAAGATTCCATCAACTTCCATAATTTCTTCTTCAACTTTTTGAACTGATTTAAACTTCAGTATTGCCGCATAACCAATTGGGCTAATTTTGAGCAAATTAATTGTTCTTCTCCAATTTTTCAAAGAGTATTTAGAATTTAGTTCTATCCTGTTCTTGCACTCTTGTTTAACTGGCCGTAAGTTCTGTGTAGTGCAGCATTATGTACAGGGGAAGAGTTTCTGAAAGTTTTGAACTTGGCTGGCATTGATCTACTCACTGTTAAGCTACAGCTTGATAGGAAGGTGCATGCAGCTATAGTTTTTCCTTTGTTTTTTTAAGATCTTTCCCTCTTGGTTGCTAAAATTATGGAAGCACATGCCTGTGGTGATCAATGTCTTTCAAACTGAATTGGTTGTCAAATAGTAGAAGGGGCCAGGTCTGGTTCAGTTGCTTAGCTGCCTGACGTGTATATGATTGTACAAAATAATAATGAGAAAAATTATAGTAAGTTCAAATGACAATGTAATATCAACGAATTGAAGATTTGAGCAGATTAGAGGTGTAGAATAATGAGCAACCATTTTATGAAAATATGAACAAAGTTGAGTCTGTACCCAATGCCGTCCAATATCCTGCATTAGTGGGACCAGAGTTTGATAATGGTTTTTCACATGTCTGAGTGAAGCAAACGTCGGAAGGGATAGGTCTTTGACCATGTTCCAGGACTTGGTTATTCCCAAATTTTAGCCCTAACTGACCAGCCTTGTGTGGTTTTGAGAAGTGGTGAGGTTTGTGCGTGCTATTTCGTTCTATTGAGGAGGTCAGGGGCAGAACCAGACCAGGTGATCCGCAATGTCCTGTGTCAAGATTCAATTGGTCTTCTCACCAAATTGCTTCACAGCCATCATTATTTGGAATTATTGAATGTCTGACCTGTTCTGGTCATTGGATATGATTAGTTCTTGACCTGAGAGTATCTACTTTGTGAATTGGGTCCTGGTGGCCCTGTGACTATCACATGTCTGTCGAAATGCTTTCATGGCTTCTGCTATTTGTTTGGCAGTACTGAACTACCTTAAACTACACTTTTTTAAAAACAGCATATACTGCTTTCCTAGGGAAAAAAAAAACAGAACTGTTTGTATGATATGAACTACGCCTATGACCAGGTTAACATTCCCTATGCAACCAACATCTGCTCTGGATTCGATGATTCAAACGCATGGACTTTTTTTGACTTGAACACGATACATGATGAGCATAAAGATGATCCAATAACAGTTGTGCAAGCTGATTTTGTGAGTGTGACATTTCCCTTCTTTTGTTGTAGAAACAGAATATTTAAGCATAATTTACATCTGAATTCTCTAAATTCTGATATCTAGTTTGTCTCGTGTTTCTTTCCTAGTACAGTATCATGCCAATGAGTTGCTGCCATTGAAGGATGAGGACATAATTGTGAAAGTGATCTATTGCCTTTCGAAGTGCATTAAGGACTTCGAGAATGCCACAGTAATCGAGAAAGAAATTGGAAGATTTCCAAAATACCTGACTCACTTCTTTCCAGGTGGCTTTCTTTAGGCTTTGTATTGCTACTATACTTTTATAAACTCTATGAACAAATTGTCCATGTATGCGTAGGGCTGTGTTTATAGCAACAATAACACTTTCACTGTGGAAATGATTTGCATATATTCTCCGATCTTAGAAAGAAGTCATAAAGGGTTTTGATAAGTTTGAAGCATCAACCTATCTGGAATTAGACGGGACTGACATGTTTTGCCATGTTCCGAGAAAACCTAAAGATTAATTGGATCTCCAGTGTGTTGGTGTAGCTCTGTACAACAGATACTTTTGTACTGTTGCTTTCTGAGTTTTTTTTTTTTTTTTTGTCAAAGGTTCATACAAGTTCATGATGCGTGGATCTACATCTTTCCCAAACTTGTTTTTGGCTGGAGACTGGATAGTAACCCGACATGGTTCGTGGTCACAGGTTAGAACTATTGAACTGTTCTCTCTTCATTTGAAGTCTCCATTGAAACGATCGATTGAAATATGTCATTCTATGTCCTTTAACAGGAAAAATCTTATGTCACGGGACTTGAGGCAGCTAACAGGGTGGTGGACCATCTTGAAGAAGGCACTTTTGCCAAGATAATACCGGTAGAGGAAGACGAGCCTCACATCAAAGCACTACGTAACCTCAACAGAAACCTTAATGAGATAAGAACCCAACTTCCATGGTCCAACTATTTTATCCAGTGAGCCTGTTGATGGGTTACTTTTTATCTTTGCATACACAGTTTATTTTTTAAAAGTTTATGCTCAAGGTCACATCTCAAATTGTCTATGCATGAACTTCTTGTAATGGTCTTTAGATTATTGGTTCATTGTAGAAACTATTCTTTAAGAATTAAATGACAACTATATAGAAACCAAAAGGTGCCTCCCCCATCATTTTGGAAGTGTAGAAATCCACTATTCACAATATTGAGAACACATATTATTGACCTTTGTTTTTTGTTTATTTGTTAAGCCAACATGTAAAATCCTCATTTATGAAAATAACAAAAAAAAACATGTAAACTTCATTTTAGAAGTACTTTTTTAAAAAGATTTTTGAGATACAGACTTTTTGTGATTTTACCAAATATAATATATTTTTTACAAAGCAATCCTGAAATTTGGAACCTTTAGAATTTTGAAATCTTATGATTTTAAGAATTTTCAATTCCTTCCAGAAAGAATACAAATTGTCAAATCTTGTACAAGATGAATGGATGATTACTAACAAACTTTGCCAAGAGGCCAATCTAGTTATATAGTTATATAATTATACTCCGTGTACAATACATAGTATTTTGTATTTATACAATAAGCAAGACTAATAAATACCTATGAAACAAGATTGAAATATTTTGCAAAGAAATTCTGGGTGAGGTGTTCGGCGTGACACCGAATCAAGGATTATAGTCAACTGTAACGGATGGGTGTTTCACGATCCGACTAAAAAACTTAAGTTATTAGGTGGGGCTAAGATTCAGCTCATATATATACCCAATTAATTTTCCATCCGCATCATATGTGGGACAATTCGGATTATATGTGGGACAAACCTCTAACAATAGCCACCACACCACACGCTCAACTCCAAGTGAAAAAAAAAAAAAAAAAAAAAAATTTTGATTGGTAGCTTACAATTAATTTCTTGCTTATAATAAATTAATAATACTAATAATAAATGGTTGGTAGCTAAGTCACATAAAGTAGGAGTGGGAGCGAGAGCGAATTTGAGAGCGGGAGTATGAGAGGCAAAATTATGTCATAAATAGTGAGAATTTGAACGAGAGAGCGGGAGCGCGTTCGGAACATGAGAGCGACACCTATTGAGAAGGATTGTGTGACTTAGGTTGGTAGCTCACTATTCATTTTTTGCTTATATTAATACTAATAATAAATAAAATAATACGAGTTCTAATTGCAGTCGCGCAATTGACTGTCCATTCACAATCGCAATTACGATTGGTTAGTTTTAAATGCATTAATTATTTTAACTTTCTATTTTTATGGAACTCTACTAGCATTACTTTTTAGACAAAAATACCCTTTTAAATTATGTCTTTTTTCTTATCTCCTCTTTTAATCGATTTATATGGAAATGTGTGCGTATGTATGTATGTATATATAATAATAATAATAATTATAACTAATGTGCAGTGAATGGATGTTGAAAAAGGAAAGAAAAAAAAAATAGATAAAAAAAGGAAGAAAAAAGAACAAGATATAGATTCTGAGATTTGAAAAGGATATATACAAAATTATTTTTATATACGTATATATTTCTTTTTTGGTGAATGAATTATTTCCTTTTTTTATTATTATTTTTTTCTTAAAATCAATTTATAGAAGGATAGTTGTAAAAATAAAAAATAAAAACAAAAACAAAAAGAAACATATATATATATAAGAAAAAAAAAGAAGAAGAAGAAATATATAATCGATTTTTTTTTACCTTTCTTTTTATTCTTTTTGGATTTCTTTTCTCTTATGAATGAATTATCCTATCTATATATTCTGAAAAAGGAAAAAAATATAGATAGGATAATTCATTTTACAATAGAAAAAATAAAAAAAGAATAAAAAGAAAGGTAAAAAAAAAAATCCATTATATATTTCTTCTTTATTATTATTATTATTATTATTATTATTATTTGTTTTTTCCTATATATATATATATATATATGTTTCTTTTTGTTTTTGTTTTTTATTTTTACAACTATCCTTCTATAAATGAATTTTAAGAAAAAAAAAAATGAAATAAAAGATAAGGAAATAATTCATTCACCAAAAAAGAAATATATACGTATATAAAACTAATTTTGTATATATCTTTTTAAAATCTTAGAATCTATCTTGTTCTTTTTTCTTCCTTTTTTTTCAAATTTTTTTCTATCTTATTATTATTATTTTTTATTTTTATTTTTTTCAGAATCCATTTCTTGTGAATGGATTATCCTATCTATTTTTTTTTTTTTTTTTTTTTTTTTTTTTTTTTTTTTTTCAGTATCCAATCACAGCACATTAGTTGTAATTATAATAATAATAATTATTATATATACATATACATACGCACATATCTCCATATGAATCGATTAAAAGAGAAGATAAGAAGAAAGACATAATTTAAAATGGTATTTTAGTCTAAAAAGTAATATTAGTAGGGTTTCATAAAAATAGAAAATCAAAGTAATTAATCATTTAAAACTAACCCATCTTAATTGTGATTGGAAATAGACAGTTGCTTGCGCGACTGCCATTAGCACCCCTCATCAAATAAAATCCTGCTCCTTTGAATTGCTTTTTTTCTAGTTTTGAATTGTTGTTTTTAGCTTTTAAATGAAGAAAAATAAATAAAATAATAATTTTAAAACCGAAAAGCCACACGGAAATTATTGGGTCAAAGTCTCTTCATCCTATGATGCATTGGGTCCCACCTCATACTTCACAACACGGTATCGAATACTATAGAGCTAATTCTTTGTTGCATAAAATTGGTGGTTTGAAATTGAAATTAAAAAATAATTAGTTTATATTTGAAATAAAAAAGCAAAGATAAAAAAAATATATATATATATATATAGAAAGTTTTGGCTACTTCCCCAAACAATAACAAATATGTATTTAATATATTAACTTACTCATAAATTTTTTCAGGAAACAGATCATCTTCAAGGAAAGTTCTCTCCAAATATCTACAGGTATTAATCCTACGATAATTAATGTGCCACATCAACAATTTATTTTACTATTTCTTACCATTCTAAAACTTTCTTTTTTAATTCATAAATTCTAGGAAATTAGTATTGCCCAATTTTGATATTTCTACATAAACCCTTAAAATAACTTTCTTACCGTTCTTAAACTTTCTTTTTCGATTTTCTCTACCATCAACAATCTTTGATTTTTACAATGGAAGATTTGCAAGATTAATCAAACATATATTTTTATTCACAAATTTAAAAAAAAAAAAAATAGTATTGCTCAAATTTCAGATTTCTACATAAACACTTAAAATAATTTTCTTACCTGAAACTTTCTTTTTCAATTTTCTCTACCATCAACAATCTTTGATTGTTACAATTGAAGATTTGCAAGATTAATCAAGTTTATATTTCTATTCACAAATTCTAGAAAAATTAGTATTGTCCAAATTTGAGATTTCTACGTAAATCTTTAAAATAATTCCGATTTTCAAAAATCCATGCTATGTGAGATTGACAAAATGATTGACTGGTTTTGAGAGAAGAATTCAATTGTAGGAAGGAAACTAATTCCTAATAGGAAAGTTGGTTAGAAAAGCGTAATGCTTGATGTGCTTTAATCCAAACGTATTTAGTAGTGAAATAAGTTATTGATGTGGCGTCTTAATAGTCGTAGGATTAATACCTGTAGATGCTGGGAGAGAACGTTTCTTGAAAATGATCCATTCCCTTTTTTTGTGCTAGTATAAAAAATGTGGATGAGAGAGAAAGAAAGCGGGAAAAAAAATTTGTTTAATGATACAAAATTTTGAGCCAAATATTAAATTTCTATATTGTAAAAAAAAAAGTCATAAAAAGATGTAAATCTTTGAGACGAATATTAAATTTTTGAATATGTTGGAGTTCAACTAAAGGAGGGAAGAGAGAGAAAAAAAAGGAAGAATTTATTTTCAGATATAATATTTGAGAACTAATATAAAATTGAAATGAGGACGGAGATAAAAAAAGAAGTTATTTTGGGATATAAATTTTTGGGGCCTAATATAAATTTTTTGTATTTATTAGAGTTTAATAATATTAAAAAATAATTACAGTATAACTTAATATAAAAACATTTTAAAATTTTGAGACCTTCTTTTTTATTGGGTCTTAGGTGACCACAACTGGCATACATAGGACTTGACAACCTTTGAATTCACAAGAGGTAGACCCACACGGCTCCCATTTCATAAAACCGGAGGTGACTTTACGAAAATATTATTCTTTTATCTACGATTTTTACGTTTAGAATAAAAATTCAGGGAGAATTATATGTTTTGAACATATGTCCTTGTAAATTATAAATACAACACACTATATTATAGCGTAATAAAAATAAAAAATAAAAAAATAATTGCATAAACTAAATAACATAACTGTTCTCAAACAATATAAAATTGTTACATAAAAAATATAGCACATGAGAGAATTTGGATTCTCAAGTGAAACGGAAACTGTTTGGGTAATTAACTAAAAAAGTGGTGTCTAAGTGAGGTTAGAGCGAAGATTTTATGATAAAATCTCTATATATTATGCCCCGACATCATCATCAATTGGACCAAGTGTATAACTCTGTGGACCAAATCCATCTATGCAATAAAGAACGTGCCACGATTTTCCTCACATTGTCGACGCAACGGATGGTCACAACCCGGCCAATAAAAAATCGCCACGATGATATAAAAAAAAATAAGCACTGACGTAGGCGATACCATCTTTGTCACGAACTGTTTTTTTCTCCATTATTATCATTAATTATTTTTTCAAATTATTTAGAGTATATTTCTTTCTTTCTAGTTTTTTTAATCTCCACCATTAGATCTCATCTCAGCTTCGCTTCTCACTCTATTCACGGATTGAGAAAGGTACGTTCCTCTTCAGATCCATTCACGAAATTTCACTCAAATTTCACTCAAGCGCTCTACAATTCCACTGCTATATGTATAGTTATATGTATCACAATTTTTGAATCCACCCCCAAGTTCTGATCACATCGAATCTGAATTTTGTGCTCATTCAATCGTCTAATTTTTAGCCTTTCGTTCTCCGTAAGACATCTTCTGTTGCTTTGCCCTAGGCGCCTATCTATATCGATCGGAAAGTATATTTATACACACAGTTGCACACACATTTGAACACTTAATGTACTTACTTGCGTTTATGTGTAGAGGAAGATCGAAAAAATGATTTAGGCAGTGATGATTATGGAATATGTATTGTCTGGGGTTGTATCCATTGGGATGTTACTGTTTGTCAACGTTCGCATTATGTGGTTTTAGTGGCTTATCATTGACAATTTTGTTTGGAACTCCGTTGTCTATACAGGTAGATCATGGGTGTGGAGCTAGACAACTTCAACATGGAGGAGGGAATTTTGGAGGTTGGCATGGGTAATATACTATATATGTGTTTGTTGTGTAATGTTATTATGTAGAGCTGTTTTTGTTATTAAAGTTTATCTATTTTCAAAATTTAATATTCCTAAGTACCATTTGGATGGCTCTGTCAAAGTTCGAGAGCAATTTTTTCTGGTTATTGCACTCAAAAGCAGCATAAATATTTCTAAAATGTTTTAAAAAGCAGTCTTTAAGTCTTTTGGCGTTGGATGTTGTTGGAAATTTTAGCATGGGTGCCAAATTAGTTGGTACATTAGACTAGTTACTTGCTAGCATAAACTGACTGAGAACTTTGCCAATCCCGAGTTGAGATTCAAGGACAAATTGGAAATGTTATGGTACCAATTAGACTTTTATTTTTATTTTATTATTATTATATATATTTTTAAAAGTTTGCAGTATGTGATGCTGTATATTCATATTTCATAAGAGAACTATACACACACACACACATTGATATATTCTTGGTCTGTTGGAAAAAGAAGGAACACTGCAGTTTTGATGAAACATCAAGTAAAAGATGCCCAACAAGAGGTTGGGGTTGGGGTTGGGATGAGGTCCAAGAAGGGGAGAATTCAGTTTGACCTATCTGCCACCTAGTTGACGATAGCTTAGAAATGAACTTATGCTGAACTTCTTGGTGATGGTCATAGTTGCTTTTACGAGGCAATGACTGAGATAATTCATATGCCTGGGAAAAATGGTAGTATTTATAATGATTTGGAGCTACTGCAAGCAAATTAAAGTGCTAAGTGAGAAATTAAGTCAAAAGCAGAAAACGGCAAGATCAGTACTCTGAGCCTGATATTAACAGTTTCAACATCAGAGTAGGTTGGTGTGTCAACACCAACCGCTGACTGGTACACGCCTATGGTGCCATAAGATATGCAAATACTTTTATAGTCCATACCTTGCTCATGGAAATCGTTTACTTTCATTTACCTCCTACAATGGAAGGATGAAATGCTGGCATTATTCTAGTGGTTGGGCTGGGTATTAATGTGAATGGATTGCTCAGGTTTGCTTCCCGGTTCCCATTAATGGTTGATTGCAACAGTTAGTTGAATTCTGTCTACAGTTTGAGATACATCTGTGGAGTTGATATTAATCTAAAGTTAGTGCTTCACTCAAAATTTTGTTTCATGGTAGAAACAATATGTAATATTAATCCAGATTGTTTCTTAATTACATTTTTGCAGAGTACAGAACTGTCTCTGGAGTTGCTGGACCACTGGTTATCCTCGAGAAAGTTAAGGTGAATTTTTCTCTCTGTCCCCCATTACTGTATGTTATGCTTTCTCAGTGTATAATATTTATTACATATATTCAGAATGTGAAGCTGTATGTACTTTTCTCCGTTTAATCATGTTAGGGACCCAAGTATCAAGAGATTGTCAATATCCGTTTGGGAGATGGAACAACCAGACGTGGTCAAGTCCTAGAAGTTGATGGAGAGAAAGCTGTTGTTCAGGTGATTGCTCTTTGGCATCCTCCATATCCAGTACTGTATATTCTTGAGATGATTCATATTTATTATGACTTCCTATTTTCTCCCAAGGGGTTGGCTCGAGTGGATAAGAACTTGGTCCTAGTGCCTCATGAAGCATCAGGTCTAAGGTTCGAATCCTCTTGGGGGAAGGATGATTTTTCTGCCTTTTCTCTGCTGCTGATGCACAGTTTTGTTTTCTTCTTCTTCTGTAATTGTATTTTTGTACCTCTTGAATTTGTTAATTTCTCCTTTTGGGTTACAGAACTTGAAAGCTAAATGTCTATCTGGTCTGCTGCTTTGGTTGAGCTATACATTTTCTATGATTACATCATTACATTAATGTGATAAAATCTAAGCAAAGCGGTTATATCTTGTCATACTCTCTTCAATCTTCTGTAGGTTCCGATTCTCATATATGATCCGTGGGAATGTATGTTCTGATGCATTATCTAGTTTTTCATAGCAAACTATTCCATATTTCAGTTTATCTGCATCGATTTGCCTATACTGTAAGGTTAGTTCAGATATGGGTTTTGATTGAACACATATGATAAAGCCTTCCAGTTCACAACTTATGGCCATAGGGGACAGGTGTATCTCCAAAGGAGGAAGCTATATTGGGTCTTATTTGTGATATTTGTGGTTGACCATTCTGTGTAAATACTCCTTTCCCATGATCTGTGGTGGATAATACATGTTATGAATACCTCCTGCTATTTTGGCCCTTTGCATTCACCCCTTAATCTATTCTTTCGGAATTCCTCAAAGTAAAATGCATTTATCGACCGCTTACTTATGCTTGTTTTGTGTTGTTTACCAGGTTTTTGAAGGAACATCTGGAATTGACAACAAATATACAACAGTACAATTCACAGGGGAGGTGCAAAATTATTCTGCAATATTCTGCTTATTCTTCTCACATTGAAGTTTAAAGGATATAATGCTATTCTTCTGATAAACCTAGTAGACATAAACTATAATGTGCAGAATCCAAGAAGTTGACTCAGTTGTGAGTTGAAATCTTGAGTTACCGTTACTCATCTAAAAGTCTTCTTCACATCTTGAATGTCAGCACAATTTTTTTTTTGAAGTTGTTCTATGCCAGATTTTCTTTTGGTATTATGTGTAGTCCACTGTCACTGATTTCGGGTCTGACCCTCCCCAGAGCCCGCAATGGTGGGAGCGTCGTGCACTGGGTTTTCCTTTTTTATGTTCCAGTGGAATAATCACGCTCATTGTTTACACTTTACACTGCTATTTTCATTTTACAAGAAAATTCCCTTAAGCAGCCATTCAGTTGTAATATAAATGGATTATAAATTGGTAGCTTGGAAGTTAGGATGCATTAATTGTTGTGTCGCTTTATCATGATAATTAAGACTTTGTGTTTGTCCTTAAAGGTCAGTCTGTGACTCTGTGCTCAATTACCTTGTTGCAGTCCATTAATTCTGTATCTATATTGTAGTATTTTGCAAGCATCTGTTCTGCTTTTCTAAGAATGTCAGTGAAAAATTATTTCCAGGTCTTGAAAACTCCTGTCTCATTGGATATGCTTGGACGGATATTTAATGGGTCTGGGAAGCCCATTGATAATGGTCCTCCTATTTTGCCTGAGGCTTACTTGGATATCTCTGGTAAGTGGTGTTAGTGAGCTGATGACATCTAAAAAATGCAATACGTTTTTACATTATTTACTTTGTGATCTATAACTTGTCTACTTCAGGGAGTTCTATTAACCCTAGTGAGAGAACCTATCCTGAAGAAATGATACAGACAGGGATTTCGACAATCGATGTAATGAATTCGATAGCTAGAGGACAGAAAATTCCTCTTTTTTCCGCTGCTGGTCTTCCCCATAATGAAATAGCCGCTCAAATATGTCGTCAGGCTGGTTTGGTAAAGCGGCTGGAGAAAACTGAAAATCTTCTTGAGGTATAGCTCGCAACCAATATTTTGCATCAAATACCGATTGGATAATTAACATTTTTGGTGTGATGAATAACCACCAAAAAATCCATAATTTTAAGCATATTCTAGTTCTGTTCCATAATAGTAAGAACCTATATCCAATGTTGAACTTGATTCTTTATTAGCAAGGTCATGGGGGACATAATTTTTTGTAGGGTAAGACACCAAAAGTGGAAGAGATGATTGCTCACCCGTTTTACTGAAAATACACATGAAATAGGAGCACAAATATCTTTCCTTTTTGTTGTGAATATCAAATAATTTTCCTTGAAGATTATCCTATATTGCAATGTTGGGTAAATGACAGTGCAATCTTTGGATGAGTAAGTGCTGCCAAAATGGCTTGAGGTTACTAATTTGACTTGGGTGCTATGCGACGTTTTTTGCTTACCATCAACTTAGTAGCTCCTTCTCTCTCTTGCATTTAGTCAGGTGGTCGTTTAAATTTTCTCCTGTTTCTTAGTTCTTATTTTTTGCTAATGATTAAATTTGTCTGTTATGATTCTCATGACCTAAGCCATGATTTTACAGGATGGGGAAGAGGACAATTTTGCCATTGTGTTCGCAGCTATGGGTGTCAACATGGAGACGGCACAATTTTTCAAACGTGACTTTGAAGAAAATGGATCAATGGAGAGAGTTACCCTTTTCTTAAACCTGGTAATTTTATGAAATTAACTTAGGAACCTTTTTATGGTATTTGCTTCTGTCAATGAATTTCTTCTGTTATTATGAAAATTCTATGCTGTAATTTTAGGGTGAAAATGTTGATATTTCTAATATTTGTTTCTGATATGCTTTTTGTACAGGCTAATGACCCTACAATTGAGCGTATAATTACTCCTAGGATTGCTCTGACTACTGCGGAGTATTTGGCATATGAATGTGGAAAGCATGTTCTTGTCATATTAACAGATATGAGTTCATATGCTGATGCACTTCGTGAGGTAATCATGCAAGAATATACTTTGCACTGTCTGTAGCATACCTTAATTGCACGTTCCTTTGTAATAAAACAACCAATCTCATATCAAACATACCAATTTTCTTTTTTTGTGAATTTGTCTTTTCGTTAAATTTTCATGGAATTCCAAGATTTTGCAGAACTGTAGGGGCTTCAAAAATTATATCAGAAATATAAACTTAGTTTTCATTAATCTCAGTTGAGCTCTTTATATTATTTTTTCCGAGTACTATCCTAGACTAGTGGTGTGACACTTACTAATTCCTACTGTAGGTATCTGCTGCCAGGGAGGAGGTGCCAGGAAGACGTGGGTATCCTGGTTATATGTATACTGATCTGGCAACAATTTATGAACGTGCTGGAAGAATTGAAGGACGAAAGGGTTCCATAACGCAAATTCCAATTTTAACCATGCCAAATGATGGTAATGCAGCATTATCTAACCACATTTCTTGTCTGGCATATTATCTACCCCTCCACCCTTTCTTTTTGATGTAATAGTTATATTCTGTCTGGATGATTTGTTAATTTAATCAGACATCACGCATCCCACTCCGGATCTTACGGGGTATATCACTGAAGGACAGATATATATTGACAGACAACTCCAAAATCGGCAGGTATGTTTTTCTGAGCCAGGGTTGCATAAAATCATTGTTATATTTTTCTTCGTTTGGCTGTAGGAATTGTGATTCAAAATTAACCCGGCATATTGACGTAATGCTGAGTACTTTGACTGAGTGAGAGTGCATAATTATGCAATGCTTGAGAGACTGCCAAATTATTGTTAACTTATAAATAGAAAATTGCTTCCTGAAGAAGTTGGCTTATCTTGAATCACATCATTATCTTTGCACAGCTCTAATGAATTTCCATAAGTGGTGTGAATGTTTGTTTCGTTTGTCAAGGTGTGAGTTAGTGGAAAAAGAATTTTAGTTCTAGAGCTTACTAAATTTGGCTTAATTACTGAACAAGCCTATAAATAACTTGGCAACTATGAAGTATAACTTTGAAATGGGTCACTTTCTAATTGTATGTATACAAATACTTGAGACCATTTAGGAAGCAGATTATCTGATCCTTATAAATTGGCCCGTATTAAGTTTAGAAATGATTTACCAAGGAAAAAAATAAAACAGTGTTTAGAAATGATAGATTGCTTATGAGTAGCTTATGATTTGAAACTAAAGGTTGTCTTCTGGTTGAATTGAACAGATATACCCACCAATCAACGTGCTTCCATCCCTATCTCGGTTAATGAAGGTAAGCACGAGGCTTTTGATGAGTTTGTACCAAGGTTCTAAAAACACCATTTTCCGTAAATTTGGAGATCCAATCCAAATTCAGGCCAAAAATTCTATGAGGAGTTTGCACCAAGGTTCTAAAAACACCATTTTCAATAAATTTGGAGATTAATCGAAATTTTGGCCAAAATTTGGCCGATTTAATAAAACATATTAAATTGCTGTTATCCCCCTAAATTCTTAAATATGAAAATCTTCTGATTTTTACCGAATATTCCGACTTCATGGCATATTTATTTTCTCCAAATTTTTCCAGTTTGAGTTTGAGTGCAATTTTCTTTTTAATCATTTTTTTTTTTGTAAAATTCAGTGAATTTTAAACCATGGTTTTCCCTTCACCTACAACAATGAACTTCTAATATTTGTGTTTTATCTTTTCCTTTATTGGTTTTTGGTGAAGATGGTGCTAACTTCTTTATTGAGAGAGACAAGTGGTGTATATAATTGGGGCCTTTAATTGAATTATAATATTGCAGAGTGCCATTGGTGAGGGGATGACTCGAAGGGATCATGCTGATGTGTCCAACCAGGTGCAGTAGCAAGAATATTATAGAACTAGTTCAGTTACATCTATCTGACCTCCCTATTCCATTCATTATTTGTTTATCTTTTCTACTTCCAGCTATATGCAAATTATGCAATTGGAAAGGACGTCCAGGCAATGAAAGCTGTGGTTGGAGAAGAAGCACTCTCTTCTGAGGACTTGGTCTGTCACTTCACATAATCATTTTTTAAATTTCATGATTATTAAAATTAAACCAATTCTTACTGAAATAACTAACACATTTCCTCTCGAATAAAACAGCTATATTTGGAGTTCCTAGACAAATTTGAGAGGAAATTCGTTGCACAAGGTGCTTATGATACCCGCAACATCTTCCAGTCACTTGATTTAGCATGGACACTGCTAAGGATCTTTCCTCGTGAGCTTCTGCACCGTATACCAGCAAAGACCCTTGATCAGTACTACAGTCGAGATGCATCTAACTGATGGAGAAATGAGCTCATCTACCCTAGTCTTCTGTTCAACGGCAATGGTATGATTTCTGCTATGTAATTTCCACCACCTTTTCCACCCTCTGCTTGCATATTTCCTTTTTGTGCTAAATAAAGAAAGGTTGTGCTCTTAGGTAGTTAGTAGACACCAATATTTTTTCATCAAGGACCAGCTAGGTGTGTAATTTTTTTGTAATGTTTTAAAATTAGTATTACCCTGTTAGGGATGAGATTGCCTTTAAATATTGAGTTTCAGGAACAAATATATATGATGCTTGTTTGATCATCCTATTTTAGCATTTGATATGCTTTTTTTTTTTTGGATTGTTATTGTTGGGAGATGGTCAGATGTATGAAATATGCTACTCCTTGTTCAGTATCTGTTGAATGTGAAGATGTTGTGTGAACTTTTGGATTTCGTTGATGGTGTAATGCATAATAATATTAAGACGGAACTCTCTCTCTCTCTCACTGGTTATAGACAGTGCCAGGAAGCCTCAAACTTGGTAGAAATGGGCATACTAGTGGCTGTGGTGTTGTGCGTTACAACTCAGTCTGCACAGCAGTTCCTTCGGCTGAACGAGTCAACATTGTTATGAATCTAGCTTCACCATTATTATAAACTTAGCTTCTGTTAATTAATGCCACTTTAAAATATGCTGAGGTTGCATCACTGTAACTCCATTTTTAACCACGTTGTATTCCTATAGCCAAGAGTGATCTGGATTTTGACCAGGTGCCAAGCCAGACCAAGGTCCATGGGCATGCTGCATTCCTAGAGTCCTCAATGACCTGATTTTTTCTCGGGAAAAAGTTATTTTATCTTCTTTCTAGAACAAACTTGAAAGAAAGAGAAGGAAAAGTGCTTTTTTCTTTATTGATACACTTTTTTCCAAGTAAAAAAGAAACAGCATATTTTAGAAACCGAAAATTGTTTTCAAACCACCAATGTTGACCCGTTTGTCATAGCTTTTTCTACTTTTACACCAAATAAAAAGAGGAGCAGAAACCATCACTTCTATTTGGCTTATGTGTCATTATTTGAGAACTGCATTGTAGAAGAGCTTTTAAAGTTGTAAGAAGTTTTTTTATTTGTTTGGCAAAAAGTTTGCTAAAGCTTTTTTACTACTAACATAACTATTTTACCCTTCATTCAATTTATCAAATTTATCTGTAACAAGCCATATATATATAATAATAATCATAATAAAGTTTGCCTTTCATTCAATTTAACAAATTTATCTATAACAAGCCATATATATAATAATAATAATAAAAAGATTGCAAAAACTATTTTGCGTTTTAAGAAAATTTTAGTAACAGTGTTTCAATATGTCATTAAAAAATCAATCAAATAAGCATTTTTACCATGTAAACCAATGAAACAAGTCCAAAACAATGGTCTAAATAACAAAATTAAGTTATTTTTTACCATGTAAATCATTTTTACCAAGTTATTTTTTTCACATGTTGATGCGCATAAAATGATCTAAATAAGAAAATTAATTCTACTCTAAAGAAATTATTGCTACAGTCAATTATTGAATTATTTTTCTTTCCTTATTTTTTTTCAACATAATATATATTTAACTTATTTTCTAATTGTTTTCTTCTATAGTGTTTTGATAAATTAAAAAATAGAAGGAAACTAAAAAGAACAGGAAAAAAAAAAAAGAAAAAAAAGCAACGCTTTCTATATAAGTTCACTTTTTTCTGATTCAATTTGAGGTGAAAAAAAAAAAAATTAAAGAAGAAATTTTATTTTCTTTATTTTGTTGGCAATGAGTGATAGTTTGTCTTTTATTATGCCTTAGCCCTGGAGATTTTTTTCATAACCATCATCAAGTAAATCATATAATATATATACACATATTACATATATATATATACACATATATTACCTGTATATACACCCACATCTTCACAAGCAAAACTGAGACAAAATAAAATTAAAGGGAAAAAACATCTTATGGATGGTAATGAATCCATTTTTTTTTTTTTTTTTTTGTTTTTTTTTTTTTGCGCCTATTCTCAGATTCATTACCATCCATCATATGTTTTTTCCTTTTAATTTTATTTTGTCTCAGTTTTGCTTGTGAAAATGTGGGTGTATATACACGTAATATATGTGTGTGTGTGTATATATATATATATATATAGTGTTCTCATCCTTTAGTGTCATACTTAGGATTCTGTAATTTAATGATTTATTGGAGCTTGAACAACAAAGAAGAATAATTTTACCAAGCGGATTTTATTGCCCTTTTTTAAAAAAAATTAAAAATCATAGCAAAAAAATCAAAATTGAAAATGTTACCAAAGAAACAAAAAAGTTTTCAAACTACAAATCGCTCAAAGGCCTTTAAGAGATCCAAAATAACACAAACAAATCTTTCTGGTTGGGAGGTGATATTCGCACTCTATTTCTCTCCAATTGTATTACACTTATCTTTTTCTTTTAAAGAAAATGACAAGAAGGTCATTCAATTCATTAATACACTACGTCTTATTTTATAATGTCATAACTACCCTTTATACAATTTATTATTATTATTTTTTTACTTTCTTTAGTTCCTTTACTATTTTTTTTTTCGTGTGCTATACTTTCTTTTCGAAGGTCTTCTCAAAGAAGATAATTTATTTCATATAGATAATTTTATTTTTGGCAGTTAAAAGAGATAATTTATTCGTGACTTTTTTTTGTGTGCAATCAAAACAAATAATTTATTCAACAAAGTTGATTTTTTTTTGTTTTTTTGTGATTTTTTATGGTCCCATCAAAAGAAATCATTTATTCAATAGAAATATATACATATTTTTAATGGTATTATCAAAAAAGATAATTTATTCAATATATATATATATATATATATATATATATATTAATCAGCTTTTTTTGGTACCTTCTTTTTATATATATATATCTTGACAAAAGAGATAATTTCTTCAATAAATATTTTTTTGGGGTTTTTTTTCCTGTCAAAAGAGATAATTATTTTAATGGTTACTTTTTTTATTTTTGGTCCGGTCAAAAAAAACAATTTATTCAACTTATTTTTATTTATTTTTTTGGTCCTGGAAACAATATATATATATATATATATATATTTATTTATTTATATTTATCTGGCCAAAAGAGACCTAAAATATTAAAGATTATATATATATATATATATATATATATATATATTTATTTATTTATATTTATTTATCTAGCCAAAAGAGACCTAAAATATTAAAGATTAGAGATAAAGAGAGAAAATTTAAAAGGACAATTGTGTCATTTAAAAAGTAATAATCACTTATTTATAAAGTTAAGATTATAATTGTTATTTCATTTATGATTGTAATGAAAACGTAGAAAAGTGGAATGCAAATAGCCTCCTCAAAATTTTATATATACAATAAAATAGAAACTCAAAATGACCTTTCTAACCCTCAAACATTAAAATACATTCTCTCTCTTAAATCTCCCCATCCCAAATGTTGCCTTTTTCCCATTCCAAGCTTGCAAACCCATTAAACATGATATTAAATGTAAACAGATTAGGCTAAACCTGCCCACCGCAAATCTGACTCATTAAAAGATCTCAAGACCTCACAATTCCACAACCAGGGGTTGGAAAACAAGGATCTAACAAGGCAATAATATTAGATTAGGAATTAGACGTGGGAAAGTTGAAAATCAGGCTCCTTAGAATATAAAAAGGAATAACTGGGCTATGAAGGCATTCACTTTTTAAAAAGAAACTAAAAGAATTTAAAAAGTAAAAGAGGAAAAAAAAAAATAAAATAAAATAAATTTAGAGTGACATTGTATGATTTTTCTAATATATACATGAAAATATATATATATGAATTTAGTATATTATACTATAACTGGCCGGGCCGGGTTAGGGGCACGTGCCCCACTACCAACCCCAAGTCACTCGCTCCAACCGTGTTGGTGTTGACCTCCCTTTCAAACTCCTCATCCGCTCCATCTCCAAAGGTTACCCTGCTCTTCTGTCATCATGCAATTCAATCATATCATATTTTTGCATAGTGGGTCATCTTAGTTGCTTGCAAAAAAAAAAAAAAAAAAAAAAAAAATTCAAATCTTAGTTCTACTCATAACTTCTTGAATTCGATGCCAATATATATGTTCTCTCCATGTTGTTAGGTTACAAAATCTTTGATTGGTGGGTATTGTCGGTCACACTCAATACTATGATTGCGTGCTCTATAATATATAAATCAGATTTGTGGTGGGCAGGTTAGGCCTCATTTTGTTGCATTTAATTCCATATTCAATAAGTTTCGTAAAGCTTAGGAATGAAAAATATGAGCACTTATGGATAAGGGTTTGACGTGGAAATGCCACACAACACAACTAAATCAAGGTGTGAAGAACAGACTCGTGTTTAAATGTTGGAGGGCTAAAAAGGTCATTTTGGGTTTTTATTTTATATATATATATATATATTAACTAGTAAGAGTTTTTCTGTAATTTTTGATTTCTTTGAGTAATGTGAGCCTTTTTATGCAAGTTTGAGGACTTAATCGCTAAACATTTAATGGTTGAGGAGGGCCTATTGCAACAACTCAATAATTTAAAGATTTTTGGTATACTTTTGTCTATAATTTTTCATAAGATATGATTTGGAGTAAAATAAATCTTGAAAATAAAGATATATATAAATCGTTTTTAGATTCATCCATTTTTTGCTCCATTAGAACTCTGTAATTTTTAATTAATGGGTGGCAATATTAAATTTACAAAATTTATTAAAATAATATTCCATCCTTCCCAAAATGGTTGTCCATCTTTTTATTTTGGGATATCCCAAAAAACATATCCTATTCCAAAATTGAATGTACTATTTTTTATAATATTTCCAAACTATCTCTTTTAGTAAGCTCATATTTGAAACTTCACTCTTATCAATGTAATAAAAAATTATTAAAATTCCACAACCATAAAAAGTTGATTCCTTATGCAGAGGACTGTATTGTGGGATGGAAGGAGTAACAAAAAAAGGTTATAACGTTTTGGACTTGAATTCCATGGGTTAGACAATGCTTCGGTCTTGCCCCATCAAAATACAAATAAGAAGTTGACACCTCTTTTAAACTTTAAAAAATACAAAACATGGGTTATACTCATTTTTTTATAGTTAAACCCGACGATCTATTTTTTTTCCTTAATCAACTTTGAATGTTATTTTTAATTAACTAATGGAAAATTATATCATTTTAAATTTTCTTAACATAGAAAACTATCCTTAAAAAAATTGAAGTAACCAT